TTTTCTAATGAGAATGGAATAACACTAGAAATAAATAGCAGATGCAAAACTAGAACATTCAACAATATATGGAAATTAAACATCATATTCTTGAGCAACAAATTGGTCAAAGAAATCAAAAGGGACATTAGAAAATGTTTTGAGATATAAACACAAAAACCCAACATATCAAAATTTATAGAGTGAGCAAAAGCAGTACTAATAGGGAAGTTTATAGCAATAAATGCCTAAATTCAAAAAGAAGTTCTCAAAAAACATAACTTCACATCTCAAAGAACTAGAAAAAAAGAACAAATGAAGTCCAAATTTAGTAGAAAGAAGGAAATAATAAATATTAGAGCAGAAATAAATAAAACATAGAGTAGAAAATAGCATAAAATAAACAAAACTAAGTTTTGAAAACACAAGCTAAATTGACAAACTTTTAGTTAGACTGAAAAAGAAGAGAGAAGATTCAAATAAAGTAAAAATGTAAGAGAAGACATTACAATTGATGCCACAGAAATAAGAAGAATCTTAAGAGACTATTAAAAAATTATACACCAACAAATTGGATAACCAAGAAGAAATGCGTAAATTTATATAAACATACAACCTACCAAGAGTGAATCATGAAGAAACAGAAAAATCTAAACAGATTTATAACTGGTAAGGAAATTGATCAGGTAATCCAAAACCTCCTAACAAAGAAAAGCAAAGGACCTGACAGCTTCACTAATGAGTTCTACCAACCATTTAAAGAAGAATTAACTCTAATCCTTCTTAAATTATTCCAAAAAACTGAAAGGGGAATACCTCTAAACTTATTTTATGAAGCCATTATTACCCTGATACCAAAGCCAGACAAGGACACTACAAGAAGGTATACAGACCAATATTCCTGATGAACACAGATGCAAAAATCCTCAGTGAAATACTAGCAAACCAAATTCAATAGCTCACTAATAGGATCATATACAATAATTAAGTGGAAGTTATCCCTGGGATGCAAGGATGTTTTAACATATAAAAATAAATTAATGTGACACACTACATAACAAAATGAGGGATAAAAATTACATGATCATCTCAATAGATGCAGAAAAAGAATCTGACAACATTCAACATCCTTTCATGCAGGATGGTTCTCCGGGTGGTCTTGGACCAACCCAGTTCTCTCCACTTTCTTGTTTGTGGTTCTCAAGAATAACCATAGAACATACTGGGAATGTAACATCTTCAGATAGGAATGAAATGGCTGGAACAGGCTGGCTGTATTTCAGATACCCCCTAGAAACAGTGTCCTTCAGTACTTTTTAGCCCAGGGTGTCACATCATCCTGGGGTCTAAAACCTAGGGCATGGTAATTTCTCAGGTCCCTCAGGTGTGGTACAATTGGACCACGTGCAGATGATACCCCATCCACCCTAGGCAACTTTCCTGAGCCTTGAGGGACCTGTTTGCAATGAAACCTAAGCTTCTGCTGTCCCTTGCTTATTTGTAATTAATAAACCTGTTTCATGTTGTTGTATGCAATAAACCTTGTTGTATGCATGCGTGTTCTGTCTCACTGGACTCAGACAAGTTAGTAGCCAGTGCACAGTGAACCTGCTTCACATTTCACGATAAAAATATTCAACAAATTAGGAAATTACCCCAACATAATAAAGGCCATATATAAAAAGCCCACGGCTAACATCACACTCAATGGTGAAACACAAAAAAACTTTTCCTCTAAGAGCAGAACAAGAGTATCCACACTCACCATGTCTATTCAGCATGATACTAGAAATCCTAGCTAGAGTAGATAGACAGAGAAAAGAAATTAAAAGTACTCAAACCAGAAAAGAAGTAAAATTATTTCTGTTTGTGGATGACATAAATTCATTAAAAACCCTGAAGACTCCACCAAAAAAAGCCTATTAGAAATAAGAAATGAATCCAGTAAAGTTGTAGGATATAAAAATCAACACACAACAATCAGTGCCACTTCTTTTTCTTTTCTTTTCTTTTTTTTTTTTTTTTTTGGAGATGGAGTCTCACACTGTTGCCTGGGCTGGAGCGCAGTGGCGCAATCTCAGCTCACTGCACTCTCCGCTTCCCGAGTTCAAGCAGTTCTCCTGTCTCAGGAATATTGCTCCTGAGTAGCTGGGATTATAGGCTTCTGTCACCATGCCCAGCTAATTTTTTGTATTTTAGTAGAGACAGGGTTTCACCACGTTGGCCAGGTTGGTCTCGAACTCCTGACCTCATGATTCACCTGCCTTAGCCTCCCAAAGTGCTGGCATTACAGGCGCAAGCCACCGCGCCAGGCCCATCAGTGCCATTTCTACACATTAACAATAACTTATCTGAAAAAAAAATCCAGAAAGGTATCCCATTTATAATAGCTACAAAATATTAAAATGTTTAGAAGTAAAATTAACTAATTAGGCTAAAGGCTTGTACACAGAAAACTACAAAACATCTATAAGAAAAATTAAAGAAGGCACAAATAAATGAAAGATAGTCTATGTTCATGAATTGAAAGATTTAATATTGTTAAGATGTTTATACTACCCAAAGCAATCTACAATGCTATCCTTATCAAAATCCCAAAGAAATTTTTACAGAAATAGAAAAAAACTAAAATTTTAATTCTAAAATTTCTATGGAACCACAGAAGGCCCAGAATAGCTCAAACAATCCTGAGAAAGAAAAACAAAGCTAAAAGCACACCACTTCTTGGTTTCAGAATATATTACAAAGCTACAGTAATTAAAACATCATAGTACTATCATAAAGACAAACATAGAACCAATGGAACAGAATAGAGAGCTGAAGAATAGACCGACACATATGCACTCAGCTGATGTTTGACGAGGGCATCAAGAATACATAATGCGGAAAGAGTAGTTCTTCAACAAATGGTGCTGTGGAAACTGGATATCCACTTGCAAAAGAATGAAATTGGACTTCTAGCTAACATAATACACAAAAATCAACTCAATATTAATTAAAAACGTAAAACCTGAAACTGTAAAACTATTGGAAAAATATATGGGAAACTCTCCATGACTGTGGTCTAAACAACAGCCAGTTCTTGTATGTGACACCACAGCCACTGGCAACAAAACCAAAAGTAGGTAAGCAGGACTTTATAAAATTTAAAAGATTCAGCCCATCAAAGAAGATAATCAATAGGAAAAAAAAGCCAATATATGGAACGAAAGAAATAGTTGCAAACCATATGTCTGATAAGGTGCTAATCTTCAAAATATATAGAGAACTCCTATAACTATCAATGTTTTAATAACTTGATTAAAACATTGGCAAAGGATTTGAGTAGATATTTCTCCAGAGGAGACATACAAATGGCCAAAGTTATACGAAAATATGTTCAACATCATTAATCATCAGAGAATTTAGATATCACAATGAGTTATTACATCTCACCTTTTAGGTTGGCTATTATAAAACAACAACAACAATGTTGATAAGAATGTGGAGAAGTTGGAATCCTTGCTGCAAAATGGTGCAGTAATTATGAAAACAGTAAGGAGTTTCCCCCTAGAATTAAAAATAGTACCATATGATTCAGCCATCCCACTACTGGTTATTTATCCAAAAAAGTTAAATTCAGGATTTTGAAGAAACACTTTCCCTCTCATGGTCACTGCAGCATTATTCACATTAGCCAAGGTACAGGAACAACCTAAATATCTACTGATGGATGAATGGATAAAGAAAATGTGATACATGCATAAAATGGAATATTCTTCAACCTTTAAAAAAAGGAGATTCTGGGCTGGGCATGGTGACTCACGCCTGTAATCCCAGCATTTTGGGAGGCTGAGGTGGGCGGATCACAAGGTCAGGAGATCAAGACCATCCTGGCTAACATGGTGAAACCCCGTCTCTACTAAAAATACAAAAAAAAATTAGCCGGGCATGGTGGCAGGTGCCTGTAGTTCCAGCTACTCGGGAGACTGAGGCAGGAGAATGGCGTAAACCCAGGAGGCGGAGGTTGCAGTGAGCCAAGATCACGCCACTGCACTCCAGCCTGGGTGACAGAGCGAGACTCCATCTCAAAAAAAAAAAAAAGAGAGAGAGAGATTCTGCCACATGCAACAACATGAACAACATGGATGAACCCTAAGGACATTATGCTAAGTGAAATAAGCCAGTCATAGAAGGCCTGCATGATTCCACTTACATGAGATATCTAAAATAGTCAAACTAATAGAAGTGGAGAGTAGAATGGTGGTTACCATTCTTGGGGCTGGGGGAAGAAGTGGGAGGATGTTGATGAAGGGGTACAAAGTTTCCATTAGATAAGATGAAGAATTACTAGAGATCTGCTACACAACATTGGGCCAATAGTTAACTGAGTTGTACACTTAAAAAAATTGTTAAAATAGACATCATGTGAAGTGTTCTTGGCCTGTAAAATTTGAACATAATCAAAATAAAGGGCCATAAAATGCACAATGGAAGGACAAATCTGTAAGAAAAACTACAAACAAAAATGAAACGAAGACGAAAGTAAAACTGGAAGAGGTGGCACACTAAGAAGCAACTAAAGAATGTCAGCAGCCAAAGAAACCATAAGCAAGAACCTGAGTCTTTGGTGCAAGAGAAGAAGCCAACTCTAAACAGCTTTGATTATAAATCCTCTACCCTCTTTTAGCTCAATTCATAGGAATATTTTTAAACTACTTTAAAGGCATGTTTTATAATAAGGGAAGAATATGACTTCATCTCATTTTAAAAGAGGAGATTTAGGCAATTATAAATATTTTTAAGAAGCAAGATAATTCACTTCATAATTTTTGTCATCAAAAATTATAAAAAGTAAAATTAAGGAAGACTTAATTTCTGTCTGTGTGAACATTTTACAATACTTTGAGAGGCATTTTTTAATTCTACCATGTGATCAAACTATAAATAAAAATTTGGAGTAATAATCATGTACATAAAATATCTTAGACATGTTGGTTTTTTGATATAATTATTTCAGAGTAAATAATAGTGTACCCTGGTCTTGGAGACACCCATTAGAATTAATACATGCTCTGATAATGTAACCGGAAATTTTTGTTGTGTAATTTTGTAAAATAAATCTATGTAATCTCTTAAAATGAAGTGCCTCAGAGTTTTAAAGTAGTTTTTAAAGTAGTTGAATCTAGTGTATTTTGTATCTTTATATTGGTTACATTTTTATCCCTCAGATTTGGAACTTGAAAATCACTGGAATAGCTGTTTTAAAAAAGATCACAACTTGATGGCTTAGTTTTTCAATATTGTATTAAGATTCATGTTTAATTTCCTGCTTTGCATAATGCTTACAAGATTAAAAATCTTGATATTATGTCTAATTTACTTTAAACATGTCAATACCACACAGTGGGATACTATGTATGTGCTGGAAGTTAAGCTTCAAATCTAGGTTGAGAATCTGCAGTACACTGAGAATCTGTGCTGCATGGGTTGCCCTAATTGAGAATCCATCCTGCACAGCTTTTAGCTAACATTCTAATCAGATTATTACATCAGTTATTCACAAGTTAACTCCTGAGGCAATACTAATCATGATGAATGCTAGAAATAATTTTTTATAAAAATGTTGTTGCCTTTTATTTAGGAGCTCTGACACCTTAGGATGTACTTTCTTCAGAGTGTGGAGGAGGTCCCCACTGAAGAAATTCATCAGTAAACCTCCATGTGGGACAAAGCGTATCTGAATGTGGCACGACATTGACATTGGAGCAATTATTCAGGAGACAAATCCTACCAAGGGCTCGGCCTACCCTGCCCTATGTGCCTTCAAAAGGGGCACAGAAAAAAAGAGACCTTCTTGAAAGCTCCACAGGTTGAGTTCTTGAGTCACAGAAAGTCTCAGCATCTCAGGAGGTTTGTGTTCAGCTCCTCTGCAGTCTCAGGCACTGTGTCACTCACAGCACAGAAGTACTCAGCCGTGTCGCTTATATGGGCTGAGGGTTTCCTCAAGTGGAAGGAAGTTTCACTCTTCTTAAATTCAGCCTCAAAACCATTGATGCCTTTAACCAGGGTGGGTCCTGATAAATACTTCAGGAGAAGCCGGAGTCCTTGGTTGGGGTATTGCACATACCAGAAGAGATACACTGAAACAGACGATGATGAGTAGTTGCACCTCAGCAGCACAGGGGCTTCTTCAAAGACAGGGACTTGGCTGTCAAGCTGGGTCACAGACTGGGCTCTGGTTCCTCCTGCAACATCAATGCTATGTGAATAAAAAGTGTGTCTCAATTTAGATTCAATTACAACACAGTCACTTCTGTGGAAGGAAAAAGAGTGGAATGTTACTCACCCAGAGTAAAAATCACCTCGAGCACTGGGACGAGCAGCAGGAGCATGGCTGAGCAGTGGCAACGCTGCAGGACCTTGAGCAGGGCGGACAGAAGCCAAGGGCGCTGAGCCTCAGGACCTAGGAGCAGTGGGGAGGTTGGACTGGACAAGTCCCTGGCTTTGAAAAGTGTCAGAAACAGAAAGAGAACTTCCCTTAAGGAGTCTGGATGTGTTCTGACCTCTTGCTCTTGTCACAGCTCCCTGTCTACACAGATATCAGTGAGCTACATCAGCCAGCTGCAGGAAGGAGGCTCAGTTGATGAGGATGGTCTGTGATGAAAACAGGTGCTTCAACATCGCCCTCTGGAGGCCACAGGCGGAACCACGGATCCAAGGGAGCAAGCTGTTTCCTTCTCATTTCAGACATGATATCAAAACTGCAACAGTGTTTCTTTCTTCCTAAATCTGTGATGATGTCACCTTCTGTATAGTACATGCTGTTACTCTCAAAATACATGAGAAATTGCAGCCATAAAGCAAATCTCAATAAATTCAAAAATACCAAAATCTTGGACCACAGTGTAATAAAAACAGAAATCATTACCAAGAAGATCTCTCAAAACCACACAATTATGCGGAAGTTAAACAACTTGCTCCTGAATGACTTTTGGGTAAACAACAAAGCAGAGCAGAAATTAAGGAAAACAGTCAGACAAAATTCCAGAATCTTCGGTTTGCAGCTAAAGCTGTTAATAGGAAAGCTTATAGTGCTAAATACCTACATCAAGAAATTAGAAAGATCCCAAGTGAACATTCTAGCATCACAATTAGAGGGACTAGAAAAAGAAGAACAACCAAAGCTCAAAGCTAGCAGAAGAAAATAAATAAACAAAATCAGAAAAGAACTGAACAAAATTGAGACTTGAAAACCCATACAAAGGATCAATAAAACCAAAAGTTGTTTTTCTGGAAGAATAAACAAGATTGATACACCACTAAGTCGGTTAATGAAGAAAATAAAAGAGAAGATCCAAATAAGCACAATCAGAAATTACAAAGGAGACGTTACAATTGATCCTATAGAAATACAAAAGACCCTAAGAGAATAGTAGGAACACCAGCATTCATAAAAATTAGAAAACCTGGAGAAAATTAATAAATTCCTGGAAACAAATAACCTCTAAATATTCAACCAAGAAGAAATTGAAAACCTGAACAGACTAATAATGAGTTCTGGAAATGAGTCAGTAATAATAATTTTTTAAAACCTGCCAACCAAATACAACCCCTGGACCAGATGGATTCACAACAGAATTCAGCCAGTTGTACAAAGAAGAACTGGTACCAATCCTACTGAAGCTATTCCCAAAACATTGAGGAGAAGGGTTCCTTCCTAACTGATTCTATGAAGTCAACATCATTCTGATACCAAAATCCAGCAGAAACACAATGAAAAAAGAAAATATCAGTCAATATCCATGACAAACTTAAATGTAAAAATCCTCCACAAAAATACTAGCAAACTGAATCCAGCAGTACATCAAAAAGTTAATTCAAGGTCAAGTAGTCTTCATTCCTGGGATGCAAGTTTGGTTCAACATAGACAAATCAATAAATGTGATTCACTACAGAAACAGAATTAAAAGCAAAATCATGTGATCATGTCAATAGATGCAGATTCAGCTTTCAATAAAGTCCAATATCGCTTTATGATAAAAATCCTCAACAAACAGCATTGAAGGAATATACCACAAAATAATAAGAGCCACCTATGACAAACAGCCAACATCATACTCAATGGGAAAAAGCTGGAACCATCCTCCTTAGGAACTGGAACAATTGGAAGTCCTAGCTAGAACACTCAAGAAAGAGAAAAAAATAAAATGTACCCAAATAGAGAAAGAAGCAGTCAAATTATCTGTCTTTGCTGACAGTATGATTTGATATCTAGAAAAACGCTAAAGGTTCTGCCAAAAGGCTCCTAGACTTGATAAAAGATTTCAGTCAAGTTTCAGGATGTAAAACCAATTTGCAAAAATCAGTAGCATTTCTATACACCAATAATGTTCAAGCTGACAGCCAACTAAAGAACAAAATTACATGTGCAATAAGCACAAAAAGAATAGATACCTAGGAATACAGCTAAGCAAGGATGTGAAAGATCTCTACAAAGAGAACTACAAAACACTACTGAGAGAAATCAGAGACGGCACAAAAAAAATGGAAAAACATTGCATACCCTGGATTAGGAGAATCAATATCATTAAAATGTCCATACTGCTCAAAGCAATTTACAGATTCAATGATATTCCTATCAAACTACTAATGCCATTTTTCACAGAATCAGGAAAAAACTATTCTAAAATTCATATGGAACCAGAAAGAGCCTAAATAGTGAAAGCAATCTAAGCACCAAGCACAAAGCCAGAGGCATCACACTACCCAATTTCAAACTACACTACAAGGCTACAGTAACCAAAACAGCATAGTACAAAAATGGACACATAAACCATGGAACAGAATAGCAAACTCTGAAATAAAGTAACACACCTACAACCATCTGATCTTTGACAAAGTCAATAAAAATAAGAAATTGGCAAAAACTCTCTAGTCAATAAATGATGCCGGGGATAACTGGCTAGCCACATGCAGAAGAATGAAGCTAGACCACAACCAGTCACTATACACAAAAATTAATTCCAGATGGATTAAAGACTTAACTGAAATACCCAAAACTATAAAAATCTTAGGAAAAAAACAGATAAATACCCTTTTGCCATCGGCATTGGCAAAGAATTTATGGTTAAGTCCTGGAAAGCAATTGCAACCAAAACAACACTTGAAAAGTGTGACCTACGTAGAGTTTGTGCACAGGAAAATAAACTATCAATATAGTAAACAGGCAACCTACAGAATGGAAGAAATTATTTGCAAACTAGGTATCTGACAAAAGTCTTATATCCAGAATCCATAAGTAACAGGCTGGATGCAGTGGCTCATACCTGTAATCCCTACACTTTGTGTGGCTGAAGCTGGAAGATTGCTTGAAGCCAGGGGTTCAAGACCAGCCCGGGCAACACAGCAAGAATCTGACTCCAAAAAATAGAGAGAGAAAGAAGGAAAGAAAGGAGGAAGGAAGGAAGGAAGGAAGGAAGGAAGGAAGGAAGGAAGGAAGGAAGGAAGGAAGGAAGGAAGGAAAAAGAAATAAAGGAAGAAAGAAAGAAAAAAGAAAGAAAGGAAGGAAGGAAGGAAGGAAAGAGAAAGAAAGAAAGAAAGAAAGAAAAGAAAGAAAGAAAGAAAGAAAGAAAGAAAGAAAGAAAGAAAGAAAGAAAGAAAGAAAAGGGAAGAAGGGAGGGAAGGAAGGAAGGAAGAAGGAAGGAAAGAAAAGAAGAAAAAGAAAAAATCAGCTGGGCATAATGGCATGTGCCTGTAGTCCCAGCTACTCAGTAGGCTAAAGCAGGAGGATCCCTTGAGCCCAGGAATTTGAGGATAGAGTGAGCTAGGATCATGCTACTGGACTCCAGTCTGGGCAACAGAGGGAGACCCTGTCTTTCCAAAAAATAAAGAAAGAAAAGTAACTTCAACAAATCAACAAGCAAAAAGCAACCCCATTAAAATGTAGGCAAAGGACAAGAACAGACACTTCTTAAAAAAAGACATACATACAGCCAACAAACGTGAAAAAATGCTCATCATCACTTAACATCAGAGAAATGTAAATCAAAACCATAATAAGATACCATCTCACACCAATCAAAATGGCTTTTGTTAAAAAGTCAAAGAATAATAGATATTGGCTAGGCTGTGGAGAAAAGGGAACACTTACATACTGTTGGTGGAAATATAAATTAGTCCAGCCACTGTGGAGATTAGTTTTGAGATTTCTCAAAGAACTTAAAACAGAGCTAACATTCAACCCAGCAATCTCATTACTGGGTATATACCCAAAGGCAAATAAAATTTTCTACCAAAAAGGCACATTTAGCCATATATTCATCACAGCATTATTCACAATAGCAAAGAAATTGAATCAAATCAGGTGCCAATCAGTGGTGGATTGGATGAAGAAAATGCGGCACATATACACCATGGACTTCTATGAAACCACAGAAAAATGAAATCCTGTCCTTTGCAGCAACAAGTATGCAGCTAGAGGCCATTATCTGAAAGGAATTAATGCAGAAGCAGAAAACGAAATACTGCATGCTCTCACTTACTGGTGGGAGCTAAACACTAGCTACACATGAACATAAAGACAGTAACAATAGACACTGGGTACTACTAGAGTGGGGAGAGAGGGAGGGGGAAAAGGACTGAAAAACTATGAGGGGGGAAAAGGACTGAAAAACTATTAGGTACTATGCTTACAACCTGAGTGAAAAGGCATTCCTAGTCCAAACCTCAGCATCATGCAGTATGCCTTTGTTACAAACCTGCACATGTACTCCTGTTTCTAAAATAAAAGTTAAAAGAAATAAAATTTACAAATTAGAAAATAAAAATGTTTTTCTCCTCAAAAAATACACAAGAAATTGGTGTTATGTAAAAATAGAAGAGTAATTTACTTCACTGAGAAATTAGTCACAGAAGACAATATTTTAGACTTTGGAATGCCATTAAGATGCTCTGTTATTTTTTAGAGCCACTCATCAAGGAGAGGGGAGAAGATCAGTTGCCTCAGGCTTAGCTACGCTTCATGTGGCCCTGTGCTAGTGGGTTCACATGAGCATTAGAGTGGATGAAAGAGACTTCTCGTTTATTAGGTGCTAAAGGAAAAAAAAAATGACTACAGACTCATACTTAAGATCAGCCTGGATCACGTGTCATTAGCTAATCAATCAATGCAAACTAATAGGCAATAATTTTCTTCGTGAAGCAGAAAGTGTGAAAAAGATTTCTTGGTTTCAAATCAAGTTTGACGTTTGTAAGGCTAGGAGAAAAAAACTTACAGAAAAGTCCCATTTGAATTATCAATGCTCAGAATAGACTGATACATTATGCCAAATTATGGTATCTCACCTTAAAAAGAACATTAACAGAAGCCCATTTATGGAGAAATTTGAGCAGAATAATGGAGGTAATAAAATATAACATATAAATAAGTAATTCTGGGAAGAATTAAAGAGATCAAAAGAAAAGTAAGCCTACATGAACTTAGTAAACCTGGGAGGAGTGCAGCCAGCAGAGAAGAAATGAGAAGACCTTGTGGGAGGTATAGAAGACTTAGGATAGGTTGACAATGACACTCAACAGAGCTAAGCAAGCAGCAGTCCCCGTGGGTGGGAGATAGAGTGTATT